GGGAAGGGAAGCAGGCTCCCTGCTGAGCAGAGAGCCCGACGCGGGGCTCGATCCCAGGACCCCGGGACCATGACCCGAGCCGAAGGCAGAGGCTTAACCCACTGAGCCACCCAGGCGCCCCCAGTCAGAATTTTCTAACAGACCTTCCCCCTCTCATGCCCCTTCCATAATCTAAATTCCATCGAGCACCCAGAGTCATCTTTTTGAAACCTGAATCAAGTGACATCACCAATTTACTTAAAACTTTGCTGTAGCTACTACCCATGTCACAGTGTATTCACTGTATTTTCTTATCTATTCTTGGTGCTCTGTTTTTGGGGCTTCTCCGCAGGGAGGCTGCCTTTTCCTGGGAACAGTTCTCAGAGATAGCCAACTACTGACGGGGACTAGCCTTTCACACGAGAATTAGACAATCCAAAGACCCTCATGGGAACCACCCCCTTCTTCCAGGCTCTTCCATTGTAGGAGACAATATTCCGTGCTGATCATCCAGGTCCTGGTATCAGACAGACAGGGACACCCCCTCTCTCCTACAGCCTGCCAGTAGTATTCAAAATAGCCAATCCCAAGCTGTCTCCCGCGCCCTGCCTCGCCTTTCCTGTGTTAAATACAAAAGTTCTGGACCACTTTTTTGTCCTCCACTTTTGCCTCCTGACCCATCCTGGTCATCACATGGCCCTCCCTTGTGTGCCCTGCATGCTGAGCCTAAGGGTCTGTAAGAATAAACTTCTCCTTTCATGGTAATCCTCTCCCTCCTCAAAATCTGTGCGCAGATAATGAGTCACCGAGCTGCTATCTAAGGAACAGTGTTTCACCCAGAAAACAGCCAGGACAGGAACCATGTGTGAGAGCACTGGGTGCCTCAAGAAGGGCACAAAGGGTAGCGTGGCCAGAGCTGCGTCTGCAGGGGTTCACGTGGGACAAGGTGAATCAGAGAGAGAAATGGAGACCTTGTGTCTGCCTTGTAGGCCATCAACAGGAGCTTGGAACGTTTCCTGTATGCTCTAAAATGTACCCAGGGGAAACAAATAAAATGTACCCAGGAATTGGTTGATCTGCTGTGACTCATTAGAGTTGTCCCAGCCATGTTACTTAGTACTGCGGAACTGCTTCCATTCTGCTCTCCCACTATTTCTCATCTGCTCTGATTTTCCCATCTCCACAGCACTCCCTCCTTTCAACCTATATTGCTTAGGGTTTTCATTGTTTTTGTTTTTCAGTCATTGGTGGTTAGGATGAAAGGTGTTCTAGAGCAGGAATGTACTTTCTTGGTATGTATATGTCCCCATTGTTGATTGCAGTTCTTGTCAGTTGGCACTCAGTAAATACGGAATTGACCAAATAAATATCTGTAAATAGATTTTTAAATCATTATGAGTGACAAGAGAGAAATAGAAAAGTGATACTGGGGTGGAGGGCTACTTTAAAACTGAGAGATACAGGGAGACCTCCATGACGAGGGAATGGTTGACATGAGTCCATCACCCTGGATCACTTGTCTACAGTTTGGGTATGAACGACTCAACACTATATCCTTCACAGCACCTTGCAAAGTGCCCTCCTTAAGCTGTTCTAGGAGACATTTGTAGCGTGAATATAACGTGGAGGCTACTAAATGCTCCCATTGCTAGGACTGCTGGTTGTTGATCTCCTCACGCCCTGTCTCTGCCCCCCAAAAACTAGCATGTGATTCCATGGGGAGCTACAGTCCCTGGGTGACAGTCATTGTTTGGGATTAGGATATGTGTGTGCTTCTGGTTCCATGAGAGCAAGAGAGATTCTACAAGGAATGGAAGGAAGAGCTGACATCTCTTAAGAGGGTGATTCCCCCCAAGTGACACAGGCTGAACACAAAGCAGACTGATTACAGAATTCCCGGGTCATGATCCATTGAATGCATTCCTGGCCAGAGAGGATTTGGGAGTTGGTGAGTTTTTCCACCTACAGAGAACTAAAGATACCATTCCTGGGTTTTGAGGAGAGAGTTCCAGAATTACATTGCTTTCAGCAAAGTTCTGGGGCAAATTGCTCCACAGCCTAAACCAAAAGTATTCAAGCTCCTTGGGTTCCTATGGTGTTTGATATTTGTTTTTCCCTAGGCAAGGTACTCCCAAGTCTCTCTTCCCAGGTTTTCTGCCTCCCCCAAGCAAAATAACTGAGCCAGTGCTCTTGACCTGGGAGTGGTGACAATGGCCCACTTCTGACACCCCCATTTTGGGAGCTGAAGGATCAGTGAGGTGGGTGGAAAGTAGCTTCAAGTCTTTTCAGCTGCTCTCTCCTAGTATGGAAATACTTCCTCTCAGCTGGGGTGAAAATGATAGCGTACCACTATTCTGTAATCAATCTGCTTCATGTTCAGCCTCAGTCACTTGGGGGGAATCACCCTCTTAAGAGATGTCAGCTCCAGTCAGCTCTTCCTTCCATTCCTTGTAGAATCTCTTGTTCTCATGGAACCAGCATGGTGCCCAAGGTGGGTCTCCAACCCAGAGGTGCTGACTGGGTGGAGAAAGAGACCTCTGGGACCACACTGGCCAGGAATTTAACCTTAGCAACAACTAGCTGGGAGCAGGATGAACAACGCAGACCTTCTGCCCCTCCTGGGAAGGTAACTCTCCCACTGGAAGTTGGGAGTGAGGGACCCCTGTGCTCTCATCTGCACCACCGCACAGTAGATTTTCTCTCTCGCTGATGGGAATGTTGAAGGAGAATGAAAGTCTTTCAGTTCAAATACCAAAGACTTCCACTGTTTTTACAAAATTATAGATCATCTTGAATAAATGTTCATTTGTTGTATATCCTTAGGAACATTTCCACAGACATTAAATTTTGTTTGTTTTGTTTGCTTGTTTCATGACCTTCTTCACCAGTTTCACGAGGGAATGAGTCCACATAACTACTCATCTTGTCAAGCTAGATGTCCCTCCTTGCTCTTTTTACATTTTTTGATTTTTAAACAATTTTAGATTTAGTGTAACGTGGCAAATATAGAGTTCCCATGTAACTTCCACACACTTTCAACTCATGTTACTATTTCACAGATGTGTTGTATTCGTCAAAGCAAAGAAATTAACATTGATACAATACTGTTTACCTTACAAAAGATATGGATTTTACTAAATTTTTTCCCCACTATCGTCCTTGTGTTGCAGGATCCCATTCCAGGCCATCAAGTTGCATTTAATCATTTTATCCGTTTAGTTTTCTCTCATCTCTAACAGTTGTTCTGTTATCCTTGTTTTTCATGATCCAAACACTTTTGATGAGGATTCATCAGGTATCTTATACAATGTTCCTCAAGTTGCATTTATCTTATCTTTTCTTTTTTTTTTTTTTTTTTTTTTGTGTTTTTTTTTGGGTGTTTTGTTTGGTGTTTTTTTTTGATTAAATTTTTTCTGTTTTTTTTTTTGTTTTTTTTTTTTTTTTTTTTTTTTTTTTTTTTTTTTTTTTTGTGATGAGTGAAGTTGGGGGTTTTGGGAAAGGATATCCCAGAATAGTTTTGTTGCCGTGTGCTCGTACCTGGTGTGAACATGACACTACTAATGATGTTAGCCTCCATCAGGCGGTAAGGGTGGTGTCTGCCAGTTTCCTCTGCTGTCGAGTTACCATTTTTCTCTTTGCATACTCAGTCACCAATCTAGCCAACTCGAGGGAGTCAAGCTCCATCACCTGAAATAAAGTGTCTGCGTATCACTTGGAATTCTTTAGGAAGATTTCTTTTCTCTCCCTGTATTCATTTACATGAGAGCACTACTAATTTTTTTTTTCTTTTAAGTGAATAAATACAAGTACTTACAAGAAATATGCGTGTTGTGATTCCCATTCATACACCCGGGGAGAAAAGAAAGCGAGGCCTACTCCTTCGTGATACGTTTAGTAACTGCGACAGGGCAGCAGGGTCAAACGCACACCGTTTCCACTTCTGTAGATGTGCGTGCGCTCGAGTCGTTGGAAGCTGCATTTCATTCTCTCACCTTTGCCTGAGAGGAGTTGGGGGGGACCCCAAAGAAGTAACCGACGGTGACCTCTAAGACATCTGAGATACGGTCTTGTTGGAACCGCTAACGTGACTGTCGGTTTCTCGTCTGCACCTCCTCAGCGCCGGGCTGGCTCCGGTTTCGCCCCGGTCCGTTCCCGTCTCCACCTATTCTCGCCCTCGCCGAGACTCAAGGCAGCAGCGGCGGCCGACCACTCCCGCACTCCGCGTCCGCGCACGACCCCTCCGCCGGCGCTCAGACGCAGGGCGAGGTGCCGCGTGGGACAGACACTCCACAGCGCCGGGCTTCAGCCTGGGGTCACTGGCGGCCTCCCCAGCTGCGGGGCTCGCACGCCGCTCCTCCGGCTCCCGGGCCGGATCCGCGCATCAAGGCGCCGCAGCGCGTGGCTCTGGCCCACAGGAGGCCCCTCAGAGGGGGCCGCGTCGGAGGGGGCTTCCGGCGTCCTGGCCCCGGCGGTGCCGTCACAGCTGGAGCATCCGTCTCCCGTCCAGGGGCATCTCCGGGAGGGGAGGCGCACGTGTGACGTCACCAGCCGACCCAAAGTCCTGGTGACCACGCGTCTTGATCGCGGGCGGAGGTCCCCGCCGCCGAGCCTCGCCTTCCCCGGGCGGGACAGGGACGGCCTCGCCCCCGCCCCTAGATCCCGCTGTGAGAAGCGGGTCTGAGGCGACTCTTTCGGAGAAGACACGCTCGGAAACTGCCTCACCGCGACAGTCAGCGAAGGAAAAAAACCACATTACCCAGAAGGCTGTGCTCCGCGTGTCGCGCGGGCGCTGGGCCAATGACTGCCCAGGAAGGGGCATTTCCTGCGGTCCGCTCCGGCGGGGTGGGGCTCCCGGTCCCATGAAGAGGACGTCATCCGCCTGCGCCGGGCTGGTCTTACCCCGGCTGTGGGGTTTTGAACAGGGACTTGGAAAAGCAGGGCACCTTTCCGAGGCCGGAGCGGAGACGGTGGTGTGGACCGTAGGTCCCTCCTCGTGTCTTTGTGTGAGCCTGACACCCGTCCCTCGTCCTCCGTAACGGGGTGTCACGTGAGCGCCTGCGGGGCGCGGAGCGCGCTCTCCGCAGCCCTGGCGCGACGCTGAGGGCCTGGGGCGCGTTTCACACTAGGGAAACTGAGGCTCGGAGTGCGACAGTCAGCCGAGGTCACCCCGCTCTGGGCAGCGAAAAGGTGGCAGCCCCTCGGCCGCTGCCCCCCGGGCCTTGCTCTGTGCACAGGGTCCCATGATGGCGGCGGCGTGGACGGACCCCGTGTGGGTGAGTGGACGATGCTCTTAGCATTGCTGCCCCTCTGCTGCGGCGGCTCCTGGGCGCCTGCAGGCCAAGGATGCCCTTCGGTTTCATTTTCTCCTTGTCGTTTGTTGACAGCAAGTGGCTGGCGTGTCCCTTGATCCGTAGTGCTGCAGCTGTGGCGGATCTCGGGCGGTGCTCAGTCTAGGCACGAAGGATGAGAAGTGCTGGCTTCCAAGGGCTCCCTCGCTTACTAATCCCGCCCTCTGCCATGACCTGCAGGGGCCTACCCGTGCCCCCGCCGACCTCCTCTGGCCTTTCGGGCTGTACCAGCCTGACCATGCTAGGTTCTCCTTCACCACCAGCCTTTGTCCCTGCACTGGCCTTTGCCTGGGATACTCCCCCTGTGACGTTTCAGGGCCTCCCTCTCACATCCTCTGGCCTCTGCTCAGATGTCACTCGCTTGGAGAGAATGTTCATAGCAGTTCAGCCGAAATGGGCCCTTCCCTGCTTGCCCATCATCCGGCATTGTTGTGTAGGGAGCCTGGCAAAATTAAACAAGTGACTGTGGTTGAATTTGTCTAGGATGTGGTGGGAGCAAAGCGAGACCAGTAACAGGAGATGCGCGATAGCTGACCTCCACTCGTTCTTGCTGTGGGCTGAGAGGCATAACCTATCACCTCACTTAATCCTCGGCTCCTCTGAGTTGAGTTATGTTGTTATCTCTGTTTTGCACAAGAACACCTTGAGGCTCAGAGGTTTAGTGCTCCAACTCACTGCAGCTCTTAAGTAGCAGAAACAACCAGTGTGTTGACCACCCCAGCCTGCATTTTTATTCTTTTCTCTACAAAAAGCAGACAGGGATACCTGGAGGTGACACCTGAAGTCAACTTTGTAAGCCAAGCAGGCTTCCGTACAGGCCTTGGGCATGACGTGGGGATATGGCATTTTAGCAAGTGGAAATGTGTGGACATAAAGGGTAGATTGGTTGTTTAAGGCGTCCCCAGGGTTCTGGTGTGATTTCCATGGCTCCTCTATCCCCGTCTGCTGAGACATAACCCTGGGAGGGCCAGACTGTGGGTCATGTGCTGGATGTTCCATCATACTCTCACCCATGACAGACACTGTGACAAATCAAAGGCTCTTGTCATGGCCAAAGCCCGCATTGTCCTCAGTAACTTCTATTTTCTGGGCCTGAAGTATTTTCTCCTCGGCAATATGTGCTGTTGAGACTCAGGTGGTTGGGGTGGGGGGTTTAAGTTCCTTCAGTTGCCAAAGCCAGAGGGTGAGGGGAAGACTCATGTAGGAAAAAGAAACAGTGACTCATTGTGGATTCTCCTTGGTAGTCTCTGAGGAGCAGAAGGCAGTGGGACCCGATCCAGGCCCTGCCACTTCCCAAGCAGGTGCCACCACCTCAGGTGATGGGCCTGTGAGGTGGGTGACGATGAGCTGCGCCTCTGCCCGTGTCCGCAGAATTATGTTCAATGATGGCTGAAACGAATGTGGCTGGGAAATTTATATGAAGTTCCTCACATCTTCATTGACTCCTTTACTAATGGAGGAGTGTCAGGATTATGCCATTAGACCCTAGACCAGAGGGACCAGAGGGACCTCAGTTCAGAGCCTGCCTCTCCTCATACCACATGTGAACTGTGGATGAACTACTGAAGCCCCCTGGACCTCAGGGCCCTGACTGGCAGGAACGTGGTAATGATACTGACTTCACAGGCTGTGGCTAGTCACCCCAGTGTTTCTTTTACAAAGATTTTTTTCTTTAATTCTCATACTCTTACTGCTGGGTGAGATTTACTGTATTAATCCAGAAATTGAGGCTCAGAGAAATGACATGAGGCTCCTAAGTTCACATGCAGGCAAGTGTTGATTCTAAGACGTGGGATTCAAACCTCAGGATTATGGCTTCAGAGCTGGGGACGTTCACATTAGCAGGACAGGAAGCGCATCGGCACGAGTCAGGCGCGCAGTGAAGATCGGTGAGTCTGGGCTGCTCTTGCTGTAATTGTTATTGGTGCTGTTTTCGTTATCTTTTTTACTCTCTCCCATCCCTGTGGCGTCTTAAAGCCCTTAACCACTCTGTGCCTCACAGTCCACATGGGAAGGTCCCGACCTCACGCCGTTCTCCACTGGCTCCCACGCAGGAGGTGCTGTCCCTCATGCTGCTGTAATCAGGGCAAAACAGCATCTCTGCTTCCTTGAGTTCCGCACAGAGCTCAGCCCTCAGGGGGTGTTTGGTCACTCTGCTCCCTTTCCATCGAGAGAAATGGGCTGTGATTCCCATCAGCAGCCCCAGCAGCCCCAAGACCAACACACTGCCTCTGTTTGACTTTTCAGATCCCTGTGACCTTCGATGATGTGGCGGTGACTTTTACCCGGGAGGAGTGGAGACAGCTGGACCCGGCCCAGAGGACCCTGTACCAGGAAGTGATGCTGGAGACGTGTGGGCTCCTGGTCTCTCTGGGTAAGGCCTCCCTAACTCTGTGGTGTGGGAGACCTGTCACCTCCTTCACTCTGCTCTGTGGCTGCAGCCCTGCTGCTTGAGAAGGTCTCTATAGCCCTCCCGTCCTCTCCATTTCAGTCATTTTCTAGACTCCTCTCTTCCTGCCTGCTCTCCTGTGTCTCAGGGAGGGTTAAGCAAGAAACATAGTTTACTTTTGGTCACAGCCAAAGGAGAAGGGTGCGTTGGGAGGAAATGGGGTTGTCCCACAAAGCCTAAAGGCAGGGATTCCATCTGGGCCCCTTGAGGGACTGATACAGGAACTTAGAGAAACACAATTAATCCCTGCTTTGGGGGCTTTTGCCCCTGGCTTCTCTCTGTGGGTCTGCTTGTGCTTTTGTTTTTTTTACAGTGACTTTTTTCTGCCACGGCTGTTTCGCAGCAGGAAGTGGCTGCCCAGTCCTTGCCATGTGAGGCCCCTTGTTCCTGTCTCTACTCCTTTTTATATGCCGATACTGTTTCTTTTCACTCCGTTAATTCTCCCAACATGCCATCCTTGGCAAACAAGGAAAATAGGGCCACTGCAGCAAGTCCCTCGTAAAGCTTAATCTCTTCACTTTAAAAGACACATCTTCATTGTGAAAAGCTCTCCTCTGCATATTTTGGTGGTTTCTTTTGTGAAATGTTGGCCGGAATAGTTGATATTTTATATTTATGCATGTGTCTCTCTTTGACTAAATTACTGTGTGCAAATTTTTTGTTCTTGGTGGTTCATGAAATGGCATCTAGCATCACGAAGTCTGCCTCTCCCCCTGACCCCCCTTTCTTGAGGATTGACTCCTCCTGCTCACATCCCCCTCCCCTTCTCACTGCTTTAGCCTTCTTGGACTCAGGTTGCCTGCCCCACAGGAGTGTTTACTGTTTCCTTTTTACTCTAGTGCGTAGGAGACCAGGGTCTTTTGTTTCTCCATATACACTTGAGAATCAGTTTGTTAATATCCACAAAATGACTTGCTGGGATTTTGACTGGTGTCATTAACTCAAGATCAAATTTGGAGGAACTGACATCTTGACAATGTTGAGTCTTCCTATCCATGAAGACTTTGATTTTGTTAAGTGGAGTTTTGTAGCTTTCCTCATACAGATTCTATATGTATTTTGTTAGATTTATAACTAAGTATTTCATTTGGGGAGTACTAATGTAAATGGTATTTAATTTAATTTAATTTATATTTTTAAGATTTTATTTATCTGACACAGAGAGAGAAACAGTGAGAGAAGGAGGACATGCAGGGGGAGTGGAAGGAGAAGAAGCAGGCTTCCCACTGAGTAGGAAGAGGGAGAAGCAGGCTCCCGGCTGAGCATTGAGCTCCATGCGGGGCTCAATCCCAGGACCCTGGGATCATGACCTGAGCTGAAGGCAGATGCTTAACCATTTGAGCCATCCAGGCACCCTCTCTGTTCTATTTCTGATATTAGTAATTTGTGTCTTTTCTTATTTTTTCTTTGTTAGCCTGGCTAGAAGGTTATCAATTTTATTGATCTTTTTAGAGAGCCAAATTTTGGTTTTGTTGATTTTTTCTATTTTCTGTTTTCAATTTTATTGATTCCTGCTCTAATTCTTATTTCTTTTGTAGTGTTTATTTTGCATTTAATTTACTCTTCTAGTTGCCTAAGGTGGAAATTTATATAACTAACTTCAGATCTTTCTTTTAAAAAAAATATGTATCCTATTATAAATTTCCTGCGAAGCATTGCTTTGCTCCATCCCACAAATTTCGCTAGGTTTTATTTTTGGTTTTTTAGTTAGTTTGTTTAAAGATTATTTATTTATTCATTTTTAGTAACCTGTACACCCAGCGTGAGACTCAAACTGATGACCCCAGGATTAAGAGTCACATGCTCTTCCAACTGAGCTAGACAGGTGCCCCATATTTTTGTTTTCATGTAGTTCAAAATATTTTTTACTTTCTTGAGATTGCTTCTTAGACCTGTATGTTATTTAAAAGTGTGTTGTTCAAGCTTTACCTATTTGGTGATTTTCCAATTATATTTCTGTTATTAATTTCTAGTTAATTACTCTATGGTCTGAGGGCAGACATTTTATGGTTTCTATTCTTTTTTTTTCCTTTCTCTCAATCACTAATGTTTAATTTCAAATCATGGGTTCGCTCATTTCTATTTAAGTTTTGTTTTTTGCCTCCTGATTTTTCCCCCGTTTTTTTAATGATTTCTGTTCTTTTTAAAATGTATCAAAGTGTGTTTTTATGGCCCAGAATATAATCTGTCATGGGAATGTTCCATGTGAGTTTGAGAAGAATGTGTATCTGTTTTTTTGTTTTTTGTTTTTTGTTTTTTTTTTAAATTTTTTTTTTTTTAAAGATTTTATTTATTTATTTGACAGAGAGAGATCACAAGTAGACGGAGAGGCAGGCAGAGAGAGAGAGAGAGGAGGAAGCAGGCTTCTTGCTGAGCAGAGAGCCCGATGTGGGACTTGATCCCAGGACCCTGAGATCATGACCTGAGCCGAAGGCAGCGGCTTAACCCACTGAGCCACCCAGGCGCCCTGTTTTTGGATGTAGTCTGCAGATGTCAGTTATAGCCAGTTAATTGATGGTGTTGTTGAGTTCCCCTATGTCATTACTAGCTTTCTGCCTTTCGGATCTGTACATTGCTCCTAGAGGAATAGTGTGATCTCCAACTTTGATGGTGGATTCATCTATTTCTTCTTATCATTCTATCAATTTTTGCCTCGTGTAGTTTGACACTGTGTTGCCAGACACATATGGATTAAGGATTTTTCTGTCTTCTTTGCAAATTAACCTATTTATCATTATGTAATGCCTTCTTTATCCCTGGTAACTTTCCTTGCTTTGAAGTCTTTTCTGTCTGAAATTAACATAGATATGCTTGCTTTCTTTTGACTAGTATTAGCATATTTTATTAACATATTAGTGTATTTTTTTTTTAATTTTTTTTTTAGATTTTATTTATTTATATGACAGACAGAGATCACAAGTAGGCAGAGAGGCAGGCAGAGAGAGAGAGGGGAGGAAGCAGGCTCCCTGCAGAGCAGAGAGCCCGATGCGGGGCTCGATCCCAGAACGCCGAGATCATGACCTGAGCCGAAGGCAGAGGCTTTAACCCACTGAGCCACCCAGGCGCCCCTAGTGTATTTTTTTTTAAAGATTTTATTTATTATTTATTTGACAGGCAGAGATCACAAGTAGGCAGAGAGGCAGGCAGAGAGAGAGAGGAGGAAGCAGGTTCCCCGCTGAGCAGAGAGCCCGATGCAGGGCTTGATCCCAGAACCCTGGGATCATGACCTGAGCTGAAGGCAGAGGCTTTAACCCACTGAGCCACCCAGGCACCCCTTAGTGTATTTTTCTACATTCATTTATTTTCAACACGTTTGTGTCTTTATATTTACAGTGGGTTTCTTATAGACAATCTATAGCTGGGTTTTGTTTTGTTTTTGTCTTTGTTTTTAAGATTTATTCATTTATTGGAGTGGCTGGGTGGCTCCGTTGTTAAGCGTCTGTCTTCAGCTCAGATCATGATCCCAGGGTCCTGAGATCAAACCCCTCATTGGGCTCCCTGCTCTTTGGGAAGTCTCCTTCTCCCACTCCCACTCCCCTTGTTTCTGTTTCCTCTCTGTGGTCTCTTTCTCTGTCAAATAAATAAAATCTTTTAAAAAAAAGAGAAAGATTTATTCATTTATTTTAGAGAGAGGGAAAGCACAGTGGGAAGGGCAAAGGGAGAGGGAGAGAGAACTTCAAGCAGAGTCTGCACTGAGCGCGTGGAACCTGACACGGGGCTCAGTCTCACGACCCTGAGCTGAAACCAACAGTCAGACACTTAACTGTGCCACCCGGGCACTCCTGGGTCTTGTTTTTTGATCCACTCTGACAATCTGTGTCTTATAATGGAGCATTTAGAAAAACATTGATGTTCTAAGTGATGTTGATGTAATGCGATTAATATTTACCATGTTTGTCACTGTTTCCTATTTATTGTCCTTGTTCCTGTTTTTGTCTTCCAGTCTTCCTGTCTGGAATAAACCCTTCTCTTTACTCAGAGTACCCAGCCCCTCTGCCTACCTCAGACTGTCGATAATCAGGGATGCCATTTGTGAAACGGTGGAAACCAGGGTTTTTTAACCTACCAGGTGGGGTACCATCACTTGGGGAGTGTTTACAATCAGATGGCTAGGCTTCATCCAGAGGTTTTGTGTAAATTAGTCCACGGTGGCATTCAGGCTCACCAGGTATAGCTGAGGCACAGGGAAGCCAAGGCCCCTGACTGGGTTAATTAGGAAGCGCCTTCAGGAGATAGGTCCGAACAGTGCTGGGATTCTACAGGCTGGAGATCAAAGGGATTTGGTGCTGTCGCTGGAGCCAACACTGATGTCTGCAGTTTTTGGGGCCCCATAATGATGTTTTATGCGTTAGTTTCCAGGTCATACTTTGTTTGGATGGATGCGAGCAGCTTCATTCTGAGGCCTTCTCCAAATTCTGAAGTCCCCGTCTAGATTGAGGGTTTCTTTCCTCTCACCACAATTTCCACAACCTTTTTCTGTCTCTTTGAACAGGCTGCCCTTTGCCCAAACCAGAGCTGATCTGCGCCTTGGATCACAGCCCAGAGTTACGGACATTGAAGAGAGGCCTCTCCCCTAACTCCTGCCCAGGTGGGTGCCAGCAGCGGGCCCGGTCAGGGTCACAGCAGCTTGCAGACGGCACAGTGATTACTGCCTCTGGAATCTGTGGAAGTTTTATTATTGTGGCCTCTCTAGAGGCTTAGGATCCATGAGCCTTTTAACCTGTGGTCCTTCTGCCCATCCCGTCCAGCCCTATCACAATCCCCAGCGCTCCTGTGGAGGTGTGGGGCCTGCTAGATTATAAGTTCGGGCTCTCAGCCCTAGCTGCTTGGGACCCACGGCAGCCTTGTGGTCCTGGAGAGGGTGCATGATCTCACTGTGCCTTTATACATAAGCTCAGCCAGTGTAAATAGAGCCGCTCTAACAGGCATATTCCAGAATCTTGGTGGCTCAGCACATGAAAGTCCTTTTCTCACCCAGCGACTGTGGAGTCAGCGTGGAGCTGTGTGCCACGCAGTCATTCAGGGATTCTGGTACCTCCTGCCATCACGAGACTTGCACGTTCTGGCATCTTCCAGCTGGCAGAGGGGAAACGGGAGAAGAAAGGAAGGTGTCATACCTACGTCCAGTCACACTGTTTCTCCTCACATTCCACCAACAAGACATCTGGCCCCGCTTAAGCACCTGGGGCTGGAAAATGAGGCTGAGCTGTGTGTCCAAGGAGAGAACAGATGGTTCGGTGGGTGTAGTCTGCTGCACTCGGTCTCTTCCTGAGGCAGTGGGTTGTCTGAGGACGCACCAGATTGTGCGTGAAACTGGCTCACGCTGGCCCTGACCCACAGTGAGCGAATGGCTCAGGAAAAGTGAGCTGTTGGTGTTATTCACATCATAATATTAACCTCACGAGTAACGATAGTACCTCAGACTTCCTTCTGCATCACCAGGAAGCAAGCTCTACCCTGCATTCCACCCTTTTTCGCCTTCTCCATCCACCCATCCTCCCGGTGCCAGTCAGACAGTCAGACACTCCCTCGCTCCAAGTCCTCGCACCCCTCCTGTCTGCTTAACCTTCCAGCTAATGTTTGGCTTCCATTCTGCAGACCTGGGCTGCTGAGGCCCCGGGGATGTCTGGTGTGGTGACTGGCGCCTCCGCAGAGCCCGGCACTCTTGCCTCTGGTGGCCCCTTGGGCTTTCATCCCGAGTATGTGTCTGTTCGGCCTCTTGGAAGGTGTTCCTAGTCTTCACCCTCATCACCAGTCTCACATCTGTGAGTGTGGAAAAGACAGTTCGTGCCCAACATGCCTAAGAGGGAGCTCGGGATTCTGCTGCTCCTCCCGCCTCCCATGCATGTCAGAAGGCCGGCTGCGACTTCAGATAACTCCTCAGCACCTCACCGCCACCAGCCCCTACCAGCCTCCCACGAATGACTCCCCTCCCCGTCTCCTCCCCGAGACCCATCCCGACACTCCTATGTCCAGGTTTTCAACTTTTGCCTGGGTGAGAGCTGGTCTCCCCTCATCTCTTGTGTGCCTCTCATCCGCCCCGTCTTCCCCACTGGTTCCCCCAGCCACGGATGGCTTGTTCCAGACCTTCACCACACCCCTCAGCCACTGATGTCTTCGCATATTTTCATATTGAAAATAGTCTGTGTTCTTGCGTTGCTTGATCGCCAACCGTTACACATTGATCTGAATCTCTCCTGTGTGTGACTTCCCTTCCCAGAGGAGGCCTTGCCCCCGACCACGGCAAAGGACCACACTAGAGGCCAGATCACACCTTGTCAGGGAATTGGCTTCTTCGCTGCTTTTCTGCCTCTTCTGTAACTTTACCCGTTCTCTGCTCAGCAGAAAAATACGCTTGGTTGTGTCACAGAAGAGGAAAGTAAATGAAAAAGGCCTATAACTCTCCAGTGTCTTCACACTGGTATCAACTCTGTTTCCCTGTATAACCCATCTTCTTGGAAGTTGTCTCACTCTTTTTTTTTTTTTTTTTAGATTTTATTTTTTATTTATTTATTTTTAGATTTTATTTATTTATTTTTCAGAAAGAGAGAGAGAGAACAAGTGGGGAGATTGGCAGGCAGAGGGAGAAGCAGGCTCCTCTCTGAATGAGAAACCCAATGTGGGACTCGATCCCAGGACCTTGGGATCATGACCTGAGCCAAAGGCAGGCGTTCAACTGACTGAGGCACCCAGGTGTCCCAATATTATATTTATTTATTTGAGAGAGAGAGAAAGAGCACGAGCAGGGGGAAAGGGAGGAGCAGATTCCCCACTGAACAAGGATCCTGACATAGAGCCCGATCCTGGGACTCCAGGATCGTGACCTGAGCCAAAGGCAGACGCTTAACAACTGAGCCACCCAGGCGCCCCAAGTTGCCTCATTCTTGCAAGAGATTTCTACACTTGTGGTCTCTTGTACAAAAATCTTAAGAGGTCCGCTTGATGAATCATTGTGTGTATAAACTCACATAACCACCACCTGTGTTAATATTTAGTGTCTACCGTGGTCTGTGGCTTTGCTTTCTGTGGTTTCAGTTACCTGCGGTCAGTTATGGTCCAGAAGCAGAGGATTGTTCTTCTGATGTGTCATTAGAAGGTCACCAGTAGCCTAATACTATGTCACATGCCTGTGTCATTCACCTCACTTCATCTCATCGTATAGACATTTTATCATCTCACAGCATCACAAGAAGGGACAGTGCCGTATAATAAAATATTTTGAGTGAGAGACCATGTTCATGTAACTTTTATTACAGTATTTGTTTTGATTGTCCTATTTTGTTATTACTTACTTTTTGTTAATCTCTTATGTGCCAAATTTATAAATTAAACTTTATTATAAGTGTGTATTTATACATTATATATATATGTGTATATATATATAGATATATACACATATATATATATATAAAATAGTATATATAAGGTTGGTACTACCCACAAATTCAGGGACCCACTGGGGTCTTGAAACAAATCCCCCACAGATAAGGGAACTACTATACAACATTTCCAGCACCTCGTCAGGGTCTCATGCCTTCAGTAGCCCCTTCTGCTAGGTAATCCCTTTTGAGACCATCAGCATGAATTTGTGTTGACTTGGAGCCCCACTGCATGGTGTCTGTGTGTCCCTCTCCTCTTGACCTTCGTTACGTCTATGAGAGTCTTTTCCTATGGTCGCGTATAGTTGGAGTTTGTTCACTCTCGGTCTAGTATGACGTCTCATTGTGTGAAAAACTGCCAGTCGTTCATCCATTCCCCTCTTGGTGGGCATTCCTCTTGTTTTCAACTTAGTGCTACTGAGAATATTCTTGTTATGTGTCTTGGTGTAGATAAGCACTAATTTCTGTTAGGAACAGATTCCGGTATGTTTCTAGTTCAGGTTGGCTTTATTGGAAAATGCCAGGCAGTGCTGGAGAGGCCGAACCCTTTCACATTCACACCATTCACCTGTGAAAGTGGTGACATCATTCTCTTTGTGCTTTGAGGTCCTGTGAGGGGGTTCCTCTGTACCACAGCACTGAAAATGTTCTTTATACAGTCACTGCTTTGCTCCTAATTTTCAAATACAGCAGCCAGCCATAGTAATGATGGGTAATGGCCCACAATTTCCCGAACAGTCCCCCAGGGGCTAGCAGTGTGCTGACCATTTTACAGGCATTTTCTCATTTAACCTTCAGGACAGTCTGTGAGGCAGAAACTGAAAGACGCTCAGTTTTTCAGATGAGGGATTTGAGATGGGAACAGCTAAGTAATTTGTCCAATATCAGCTCACTTGGTACAGGTAGGATTTGCACCAAGCGTTCAGCCAATGCTCTGAATCTCTGTGCTTGTGAATTCATAATTCAGCAGGCTTCTAGATTGTGTCCTGAGCATCTGATCCTCCTACGGTCTCCGCCCCTAATCTCCCAAGACCTCCCTTCTCTTCTTCTGGTGACTTTAATGTTGGCTCGGCAGGCATCTCATGGACCACTGTTTCTACTCTTCAGTACTCTTCCGGGTCAGTCCACGCATTCTGACCCTGCCAGTTTATATGCTCGCTCATTAGGTCCCAGATGCATGTTATTTGACTAACCCATAATAAAAATTTAGAGCTGACATGTAGCCATGTTTTGCGCAGCATCTGGTATCCTACTGAACGTGGTTCATGTATGAACGTGGCAAATGCAGGATTTCACTTCATCCTCACAGAGTCCTACAGCACAGTCTTTATTTCTGGCTTTACTTTTTAGGAGACAAAGGGAGAGCTTACGAAATGTGAGTGCCTTGCCCGGTCTACGGAGCTCATACTGAGTTGGGCCTTGGGTTTCTATGGTTGGAGACCATGATCTTAACCATAACATTGCTGTGACCTCTAATCCTTCCTTTGTGGACCTCAGGTACAAATTTTGATCTGTACCAAGCCAGACCTTGGCTGATGACACATTGTCATCACTGATCCACAAATGACCGTGATTAATTAATGTATTATCTAAGTTGTCTGCTCATTCATTTCTTTTTGAAAATAATACAGTTAACATCACAGACAAGAATGAGGACAGTGCTCATGCCAACAGTCGGGTCAGCCTGGACTGCTGTAACGAGAATGCCACAGACTGGAGGATGAAACAACGTTTATTTCCCACGCTTCTGGAGGCCAGAAGTGTCTGGTGAGGGCCCTCTTCCTGGTTTGCAGAGAAGAGTCTCCTCTTCCCTTCTCACGTGGCGCTGAGAAGACGCAAAAGCTCTTGTGTTTCTGCTTGTTAGGATACCAGTCCCGTGTCAGGGGCTGCACTCTTACCAGCCCCATCCTCTGGTACCCTGCAGGTTCCCTGAGTCTTGGAAGACTCAGCCTTTGTTCATTCCATCAGCTAAGGCTGAAATGGCTTTCCTGTTTTCTCTAAATGGCGATTTCTCACATTCCTCGTCTGGAAACCCTCACCGGCCTCTTCCCAGCTGCCGTGGAGGCTGCGTTGGGTGCCCCTTTGCTGGCCTCTTGGAGCATCTGGAGCATTCTTGCTTTGAGCAAACCCAGCACACACTGTGTCATTACTCTGTGTTCTTGTCCCTAGTTGCCAGACACTCTGTCCCCCATCTCTTCTCTCCCTCTGGGTTTCTGCTCAAAGGTTTCAAGAATTCAAGGTCTGAAAAGAAATTGCAAACTGGATTTTAGAGATTTGAAAACATGGCAGGCACAGAGCTATTGTTTTCATCTTTATTCCCACTGAAATGGCGATTTTGTTTTTCTGTGTTGCCATCTCTAATAAGCCCATCTGTATATTGTATTCCCTTCAGGTGACACCACAAAACCTGAGACCCCAGCGCTTTCCCTTTCTCACCTTGCCTTGTCTGAGGAAGTCTCACCACAGGAACAACAGGCTCAGCAGGCTCTGAGGGGCTCCCAGTTGGGGCAAGGCAAGAGTCAGGATTGGCCATCGGAAATGCTGGAAGGCCAGTTGAAACCAGGGATAGACCCCCAAACGGAGAAGCTCCCTGGGAACATGAAGCCTAAACATGATGGTTTAGGGACAGATGATGGTCTACACTCAAGGACTGTACAGCAGCCGATCCCTGCAGGACATGTTCTCCACGGTTATGACTCACAGGGACTACTGAAAGATCCCTTGATTCACGAAGGGAAACGTTCCTATCAGTGTGAGGAACGACAGAAAGTGTTTACCAAGAATTGCTTTCTTGTGCGATGTGAGCAGATTTCCACTGGAGCAAAGCCCTATGAATGCATCGAGTGTGGGAAGACTTTTAGCAAGAGCACACACCTCTTGCAGCACCGCATGATCCACACGGGGGAGCGACCCTACGAGTGCGGAGTGCGGGAAGGCCTTCAACCGCAGGTCACACCTCACGAGGCACCAGCGGATTCACACTGGAGAGAAGCCTTATAAGTGCTGTGAATGTGGGAAGGCCTTCACCCACCGCTCCAATCTAGTCTTGCATAACAGGAGCCACACTGGAGAAAAGCCCTTTGTGTGCAAAGAATGTGGGAAAGCCTTCCGTGATAAGACAGGTTTCCTTCGGCACTACATCATCCACACGGGAGAGAAGCCCTTTGAGTGCATGGAGTGCGGGAAGGCCTTCAACCGCAGGTCACACCTCACATGGCACCAGCAGATTCACACCGGAGTGAGACCCTTTGAATGCAATGAATGTGGGAAAGCCTTTTGCGACAGCACGGACCTCATTCAGCACTACGTCATCCACACGGGAGAGAAGCCATACAAGTGCCTCGAGTGTGGGAAGGCCTTCTACCGCCGGTCACACCTCAAGCAGCATCAGCGGAGTCACACTGGGGAGAAGCCCTATGTGTGCGGTGAGTGTGGAAAGGCCTTCACCCACTGCTCTACTTTCATCTTGCACAAAAGGGCCCACACTGGAGAAAAACCCTACGAGTGCAAGGAATGTGGGAAAGCCTTTAGCAATCGATCAGACCTCATCCGACACTTCAGCATCCACACTGAGGAGAAACCCTACGAGTGCACGGAGTGCGGGAAGGCCTTCAACCGCCGGTCATACCTCACGAGACACCAGCGGATTCACAGTGGAGAGAAGCCCTATGAATGCGTGGAGTGCGGTAAAGCCTTTTGCCAGAGGGCAAACCTTATTCGACATGCTATCATCCACACTGGGGAGAAGCCCTATGAGTGCAACGAGTGTGGAAAGGCCTTTACGTACTGCTACACTTTTATCTTGCATAAAAGGGCTCACATTGGAGAAAAACCCTTTGAGTGTAAAGAATGTGGGAGAGCCTTCAGCACTAAGAAAGACCTCATTCGACACATCAGCATCCATGCTGGAGAGAAGCCCTACGAGTGCACGGAGTGCGGGAAGGCCTTCAACCGCCGGTCAGGGCTCACGAGGCACCAGCGGATTCACAGTGGAGAGAAGCCCTATGAATGCATGGAGTGTGGGAAATCCTTCTGCTGGAGCACCAGTCTCATCCGACACTCCGTTATCCACACCGGAGAGAAGCCCTATGAGTGCAGTGAGTGTGGGAAAGCCTTCAGTCGCAACTCGTCCCTCACTCAGCATCAGAGGATTCATACTGGGAGAAACCCTGTCCGTGTAACCGAAGTGGGAAGACCCTTCATGAGCGGGCAGACCTGGTCTACCACCAAGAACTCCTGTTGGGGAAAGACTTCTTGAATGTAACCACTGAGGAAACTTCTTACTCAGAATCTGATCATTCATACCAAAGAGAACCCCCTCAGTTTCCTTCCCGATGAGAAACCCTCTGTTGCAGGACATCATTTGTCATCTGAGGAGTCAGACGGGAAACTTACCCCATCTGGAGCCTTACCCTGCATCTGAGAATTCATCCATGAGTGTGATCCAATCATTCTCATGCACTTAGCGTAACCATCAGCCACATCTTTCTCCTCAGTTTACACTGAAAAATTATCTCAGGGATATTTAAACAAAGGAGGAAAAGACATAAAAGAGAAAGAAATACAAGCTTGGCTTCTTTCAGACTTCTGTTACAAGCCGATGGCAGTTTGTTTTTCCTTATCTCATTTGGGAAAGGGGAGGATGTTGTTTCAGAGTTCACAGAGCCTTGTCCCCTCTTTCTTATGTGTGTTTCCACTGCTGTCCATTTCAGGACAGTTGGACATTTAAGGTGTGTCTAAAAACATTTATTGAAAGCCTTTGTTCTGCAGCTTTGTCTCTACCCTTGAGTAGCATAAGTCTTTTTTTTTTTTTTAAGATTTTATTTATTTATTTGACAGAGAGAGAGAGATCACAAGTAGGCAGAGAGGCAGGCAGAGAGAGGAGGAAGCAGGCTCAGTGCTGAGCAGAGAGCCCGACGCGGGGCTCGATCCCAGGACCCTGAGATCATGACCTAAGCTGAAGGCAGAGGCTTAACCCACTGAGCCACCCAGGCGCCCCGAGTAGCATAAGTCTTAATGAGAAATATAAAGGCTTGAGTTATGAAATGTTACATTGTAGGAGATTAAAATGACATATGAATGGGCCCACTGTACCACACTCTTAAGACTTTGATTTAAAAAAACACACAAAAAATTTTTTTCATGTGTATTTAACAACCCACTACTTGTACTTGCTCTTGATCTACTTGTTTATTGTTTTTTTTTTTTTTTTTTTTGTTTATTGTTTTTTGTTTGTGTGATGAAGATGGCAGTGTAGCTATGTGACCCTCCCTGGTGAACCTGAATTCTTCCCTCTGCGGTTCCTAAGCTTCTCCAATCCTCCTCAGAGAGACTCTTCCCAAGTCCACATCAGTTGTTTTCTAGGGATTGAATTAGAGCTAAAACAAAATAAAACACGTAGCTAAATTAGCTTAAAAAAAACAAACAAACTCAGAAAAGCACAGAGAAGGAATCTCATTTTTACTCTTAAAAAAGATTGTGTGAAGATTTGCTATTGAGGAAATTGACTAGAATTTTAACAGACAAAATTAGTATGTGCACATGCAGTTATCTGTAGAGTTTCACAGTTGTTACTATGGCCTTAGTCCTGGTATACTAAGTTAGGACTAGTACCTTTTATCAGGGTCTTTTGGAATTCCTTTGGTATTTTTTGTTGTTTTTTTGTTGTTTGTTTATTTTTTTGAGCTACATATGATACTATTATCTCTCATTAAGAAATATGCTGTGAATGGGGCGCCTGAGTGGCTCAGTTGGTTACATGGCTGCCTTCGGCTCAGGTCATGATCTCGGGGTCGCGGGATTGAGCCCAGCATCAGGCTCCTTGCTCAGCGGGGAGCCTGCTTCTCCCTCTCCCTCTGCCTGCTGCTCTGCCTACTTCTGTTCTGTCTCCCTCTTTCTAACAAATAAATAAAATCTTTTAAAAAAAAGAAATATGCTCTGGAGAAAGATGTAAAAATGACCATGCATTCACACTGAACGCTCCTCAGGGCCCTTTCAGTCACCACGTGTGTACTTTCGTATTGTCATCATAGGCCAAGCCATTTTTGTTACATTGATTCATGGCATTATTATGAAGGAGCCTCTTAATCCTTTTTATGTCATGTGTAAGAAGTCTTAAGCAAGCTCTCTGTCCTGAATTTTTCTCTCAGAAGTTTTATAGTTTTACCTTTTACATTTAAATCTCTCATGCATGTTGAGTTCATTTTTGTATTATCATGTGAGGTTTAGGTTGAGTTTCTTTCTTGTATTTGCGCCTAAGGATGTTCAGTTGGCCAGCACCATTAGCTGAAAAGTAGACTACAATATTATGTCTCCATTGAACATTTACTCCTTAGTCAGAAGTCAGTTGGGCATGTTTATGTTGATCTGTTTCCGAGTTCTCTATATTATCCCATTGATGTGCATGTCTAACCCTCTGCCAATACTGCAATGTCTTACTGTAGCTTTCAGTAAATCTTAAAATTGGGTAAAGTGATGACTTCCCCTATATTTTAAAAATTGATTTAGCTTTCCGTATTAATTTTTCCTTTGGCTTTCTATATACATGTTATCGTGATTTTCTTTATTTATAAAACGTCTTGATGGAGTTTTGACAGACATCACATTAGTCTATGGACCGTCTTGGTGAGATTTGGCATCTTTATTATGTTGACTCTTTCAGTCCATTAACATGATATGTCTCTTCATTTATTTAGATCTTTTTGTATTTCGTTAGTGTTTTATAATTTTCCACTGATCATTTTTGTTAGATTTTTATCTAAGTACTTTTTGGGGGCATCCTTATGTATCATACTGAGTTTTAATGTCAGTTTGCACATTAACATTACTGTTACAGAGAAATAGTGGTTAGGTTTTTTTTGTTTTTTGTTTTTTTAAAATATTTTAGGGACGCCTGGGTGGCTCAGTTGGTTAAGCGGCTGCCTTCGGCTCAGGTCATGATCCTAGCGTCCTGGGATCGAGTCCCACATCGGGCTCCTTGCTCATCAGGGAGCCTGCTTCTCCCTCTGCCTCTGCCTGCCCTTCTGTCTGCCTGTGCTTGCTCTCTCTCCCTCTCTCTCTCTCTCTGACAAATAAATAAATAAAATCTTTAAAAAAAAAAATTTTATTTATTTATTCGACAGAGAGATCACAAATAGGCAGAGAGGCAGGCAGAGAGAGAGGAAGAAGCAGGGAGCCCAATGCGGGGCTCGATCCCAGGACCCCTGGGATCATGACCTGAGCCGAAGGCAGAGGCTTTAACCCACTGAGCCACCCAGGCGCCCCTCTACTCTTTATTAATCTTAGATTTATATCAATTTTATTGACTATTTCAAAGAACTAGCTTTTTATATTATTGATTTTCTCTATTTCTATTCTCAATTTGTTCTCTGGTCTTCGTTATTTCTTTTGCGCTCAGGTTTTATTTAGCAGTATGTAGTTTCTTGAGATCATAGATTAGCTAATTAACCTGGGTTTTTTCTTTTTCTTTTCTAATGTAAGAAGCATTTGGTTCATGAATTTCCCTCTCTGCAGTGTTGAAGTTCCATCCCACAAACTTTCATTTGATTTGAATTCATTTTCATTCAGTTTAAATATTTCTTAATTCCATTTGAGACTCCCTCTCTGACCCACGAATTATTTAGAAAGGTGCTCCTTGATTTCTAAGTTTTTGGAATATTTTGTTATTTTTCTGTTATTTTAGTTTCACGAGTGGTCTGAGTACATGCTCTGTGTGGTTTTAAAATGTTTATATTTGTTGAGGTTTGTTTCATGATCCACAAACAGGTGAGCCGTAAGCAACGTTCTTGAGTGTTTCATGGGTACTTGAAGAAAATATATATTCTGCTGTTGCTGGATGGAGTGTTCTATAAATTTCAGAGTCTGCTGGTTATTGGTGTTATTCAGATTTTCTGTATCTTTACTAATTTTGTTCCTAGTGTTTCTATCAATCACTGAACAAGGAGTGTCAAGATCCTCAACTAGAATTGTGGAATTGTCTATTTCTTTCTGTTCTGCTTACCTTTTGCTTTGTGTGTTTGAATGTTTTCTTGTTTGCTGCACATACACTTACGATGCTGTATCTTTTTGGTGTATTGACCCTTTATCATGTAACTAATATCCCTTTTTGTCCCTGTTAATTTTCATGGCTCTGAAGTATACTTTATCTGATATCGATAAAGTCACTGTTGGATTTTTATTGCTATTTATATGGTTCATCTTCGTCCATCCCTTTTATTTTAACCTATCTATATTGTTATATTTGAGGTAATTTTTTTGTAGTTAGCATATAGAAGCTTTTCCCCCCTACCATTTGACAGTGTGTCTTTTAATTGGTGTATTAGACCATTTATATTTGAAGTAGTTATTGACATGTTTGGAGTAAATAATGTCATTTTTCTTCTTTGATTTTTCGTTTTTCTTCTTTCTTTTTTTTTAAAGACTTTATTTATTTATTTGACAGAGATCACAAGTAGACAGAGAGGCAGGCGCGGTGGGGTGGGCAGGCTCCCCGCCGATCAGAGAGCCCGATGCGGGGCTCGATCCCAGGACCCTGAGATCATGACCTGAGCCGAAGGCAGAGGCTTAACCCACTGAGCCACCCAGGCGCCCCTAATTTTTCCTCTTTCTTGTTCCTGTTTTTCTGTTTTGGTTTTTGTAAGGGTGGGGAAGGGGGTTTCCTTGCCTTCTTTTTGGACCTTGGACATTTTTTAGAAATCAGTTTTGATTCATGTATAGGGTTTTGGGGGTGTATTTTTTTCCTTTCTTTATCTTTTTAAGTGGCTACTCTAGGTATTAAAATGTATATGTGCAATTTATCACAGTCTCCTGTTGACAGTATTTTAGCAACTTAAGTGCGTTGTAGAAACCTTACTTCTGTTAGCTCCCTTTACATTCACTATTCTTTTTGTACAGTTGTCTTGGATGTTTACTCTTCATATGTTGAAGACCATGTCAAATGATGTTATTACCTTCTTCAGTCGTCAAACATTTTTAGAAGTATATGAGAAGAAGGGTAGTCAATTTACTTCTGTTTCTTAACCCTTTTCATTGAAATTTCAAGCCTCTTTTGCTCTTATTTCCTTTCTGTTGGAGAACTTCCTGTAGCCATTCTTTCAGGGTAGATCTGGTGACAGATGTTGTTTGTTTTCTTTCATCTGACAATGGATTTATTTCCTTATCTTTGAAGGAAAATTTTTAAAAGATTTTATTTATTTATTTGACAGAGATCACAAGTAGGCAGAGAGGCAGGCAGAGAGGGGGGGGGCAGCTGAGCAGAGAGCCCGATGCGGGGCTCTATCCCAGGACCCTGAGATCATGACCTGAGCCAAAGGCAGAGG